CTGGCTTACTTTGTTTTTGAACAGTATCTAGATTTAGCCTTTTGATTATCAAGAATGAATGTTTCTTTAAAAAAAATTCCCGTTTATAAGTACGACAATGTTCACAGTTATTTCAAGTGTTTAAGCCTCCAAATAATTTGAAAAAAATATAGGTTTTAAATTCTCTCTGCTCCTACTTTTGTTTCCTTCTCTTCTGACTTATGCTGTAGTAATAAAAACATAAATCCTTGCATTTGATATGGCTTTTTTCACATTGGGACATGTCATAAAGCGCTTCACAGGATTTGTAAAGAGTACATTTTCGGACAGTGACCTCCCTCTGTTTTCTCACAGTTTTTCATTTGTGAACCTAGACAGTGAATGTCAGAAACTAATCAACTGTGGGTTGCAATACAGTCCAGCCCATTTGTGTTCTCACCCGACATCTGCAGATATGCATTTTATAGCAGTTGTGAATCGCGGGTGGGATATGGCAATATTGGCTGATTTTTTTCCCCCACGTTGCTAGTTCAAGTGTTGAGACCAATTGAAGTGCACTCACGCAACTAACTCAGCACCAACTACTAATCGAGCATGGGACTGTCCCAATCTGTACAATTCAGTTGGAGAACAGACAGTGAATTTACCAATTGAGTCATTGTGGGAAACACAAATTAATATTCAGTTTGTCATAACCATGACTGACTTAGCACCTTTAATTTGCACTTCTTACAGTTTGTGCTATTTTCCACCGCAAGTGAGAATGTGATAATGCTATTGTTAAGCATTCTACAAAAAGTACCCAAATCATGACTAATTATATTGAATAGGGGGAAAAAAATTTAAAAACTCCTCAACTGACATACAGTATTGTTATTGCAAATGTGTGTGAAAATAATGGCCAGAATGTTCAAAGAGTTGAAGTCAATCAGCATGAGAAATTTTAGATAGAACTGGGAACTCTCCTGATTTTTATGAAGGTATGTAATATTCTTCTGATATAAATTTGAACCAAAGGAATCTTTTCCTCTTGAATATCGATTTATCAAATGTGCTTTAGGTCACTGGGAGTCATGCAATTCAAAGAAAGCCATAAAACCGTAAAATCTTATAAGTCACACCTTCCTGCATGTTTTGCTGACTAGGAAAGTACCTTAACTGAATGGGATTTTATTATGGGTGGGTTTAAAATTATAGGTATGGTTTAAACATCAGAGATTATAATGTATGGATCTTAAACACTAATTTGATTGACTGTCAAAAAGATCACTTGTGATCAGGAAACATATTTTTTTCGAAGCAAACCATTTATAAAATTAAAATGATAACCTGCAAAAGATCATTTTGTGCTGAAAAAGGGCTTCATTTGTCAAACATTTGCTATATAAGACAGAAATTCTTTCAATTATTGAGTCCAAATGGGAAGAGAAGTGGAATGTACTGCAATGGCGACAAATATTTTGGGACGAATATAATTTTTAATCATAATAAGTGTGTATTAAAACCATTTAATATTCATGGTAGAATAACGTTTACCATTTTCCATACCCCTGAATTGGCCTCTGTTTACTTGCTAGGATTCTGGCTTGCAAACCAAGAATTCCAGAAGAAACCATCCCTTTAAAGGAGCAGTTCTGTTGCAGTTTAAAGCTCACGTACGTACTGTTTCAAAGGGAGCGAACTCCAAAAATGAGTCCCTACTTCCAAAAAATTCCTTTACCATATAGCTATCTTCTTCTATGCATTCACAGCTCTCTTTACACATGTTCAACTAACTTCTTAAGCTAAGGACTTAGACTGAGAAACAGAATTGGAGAGCCTAATAAGTGTGATACTATATAAATCACATTGCAGGAACTAAATGTCTTGCCAACCTGAACAGAGGAGATCCTACCAAAGCATGGCAAACAGAAGTGGCTGTCCTCACACTTTTCAAGAGCTGCTTTTTAAATATGGAAACCACAACAATACCTTGAACTTGTCAAATTACTGTGGGTTTAATTCTTGAAAATATAAATGTAACCCTCAGACTGTGCTTTCGGTCATCTTTTTCCTTCCCACCAACAGCCAACCCAACAGTGTCAAGTACTTTGAGTCATCCTCACAACATAAAAGGTGCTATACAATCGTAAATTGTATTGTAGTGTATAATCACTACAAATGCAGTTATAATAAAAAGGAAATATTGTAGCATTTTTCAATGTGATTGTAGTATTATTGTGCATCTGAGTGTAAGATATATTTATTCAACTGTATTGCAGTCAATTAAAGATTCCATACGAGCAAAAGCTAATCTTCATGTTCAGCCATAAAAATCCAGAATATTTTTATTTATCCAGTTTCCAGTTTAAATTGGCTGAAATCCCTTAATTTAAAGGACTTTTCAGTACTGTACACAGTTTTGGCTGAAGTTATATCTTCTAATATTAAACATGATAATGGTTTTCCTTGGATAGGACATGTTTTATTATTCTTTGCAGCAAGATCACCAGATGTTCCATTCCGTGCACTTTGTTAATGAACAATAGGTGGCTACCACAGAGTTGGAGCACAGCACAGATTATTTTTTCACAATGCTGTTTCTAATCCTAAACAGTCTGCAATAACAACAGGTAAAACCTAGCGATTCGCTCGCTTCACAACTCTTCCCTCCACAAGCTGCAGACGGAAGCTTGTGTCCTCTCCTGCACCATCCTTGCTCAACTCCACTGCCTCCCCATCCCCCAGAGAACTGAGTTCAAGATACTCGTCCTCACTTTTAAAGCCCACCACAATCTTGCCACACCCTATCTCTGTGACCTTCAGAAACCTTACCAATCCGCGTTCTCCCTCTGCTTGGGAGACACAAGCTTGCTTCACGTCCCCCCACCTTGCTCGCCTCTCCATAGCGGTTGGACCTTCAGCCTCTCTGCCCCTACGCTCTGGAACTCAATCCCAGAATCCCTTCTCCTCGCCTGCTTCAAGGTCCGATAAAGACATTCCTCTTTGACCTCGTCTTCGGTCATCTTCCCAGCCCCACTCCCCTTTGGTCCCCACACCTCAAGAATTGACCTAGCTTGGGTGCAAACCCTTGACTGTCCTGTGCCTTGGGACCCCTCCTTATGTGAAAGGTATATGAATGCAATTTGTTGTCGTTGTACAAATGAAATTTTTTAGGTCAACTGGGTCACTAACACATGCGGAAACCTATCACTGTGCTTACGAGTATCCAAACCAGACTGAGAGTTCCATGTATCCCACCTACCACATGGAAATTCCTATGTTTGGAATGGGCATTCTCTCCCCAGATGCTCCCTGTTTACCTAATTCCGGAGAGTATCATAATAATAATCCTTACATTTGATATAGTTCCTTACCTCAGCGTTGAGAGATTTCAAAGTGCTTCAGAGTATATATTGTAAAGTGATTTGACTGTGTATTTTGTGGGCAAATTGTTTTATTAGGCACAAATGGGCAAGAACTAAGGCTTCGGGACCCAGGATGTGCGTTGGGGCATTGCTGGAGTTTAACCAGCAAAAATTGCATAGCTTGCAATGGAAAGCACTGTCTGGTAAGCTTCCAGCTACTTCGCCAGCTTAGGACCACTCTACTTGTCTTTATGGTCCTGAGTAAAGGGGTCTGAATAGTTGTCTCGTACAGTATAACGTTTTCTGCCAAAATGTCAACACATGAAAACTGGGCTTCTTCAGTGTTAGTTTTTGGTAGAGTCAAAATCCAGCAGAGAGCCAATTAGAAGCTGCATTCAGAACACATAGTTCTGATCCCAGTGCCACCACAACAAGATGCTAATTGTTGTCCTGATATGGCAGCTGTATGTAAACGCTGGTTTCAATAGGAAATGGATGTGCAAACTTCAGCAGGAGGGTGAGAAGAGGCAGGAGGAGAAGGCTGAGCTCTCAGGGATTACTGTCCCTGCTGACATCAGTGAAATGTTTTTGATGGAGTATTCTTTCACTGATAACATTGTGGGCAGAGGTGGAATATGAGTTGGAGGTAAGGCACTGAATCACTGTTGCACCTGCATCCTGCTTGTCCATCTTGGAGATCAGGATGGCGTTCAATAAGCTCACAGTCAACCCAGTGAAGGTGAGATCAACAGAATGGGATGATGTTTAGTGCATTGTGAAGTTGACTCACTTTCCTTTCTCCATAGATGCTGCCTGACCTGCTGAGTTTTCCCAGCTCTCTCTGTTTTTGTTTCAGATTCTAGCATCTGCAGTATTTTGTGTTTTGCACACAGTGTTAGTTTCAGCAGCCAATTGCTGTACAACATATAGAAAGTAAGATTATGAAACACAAGTAATAATAATAATAATAATCATAATAAGTACTCTGTGGATGAGATAGAACTTGCCAAGGGGGAGCCTGAATGAAATCTAGGGGTGTTGGGGAAATCTAGTGACTTATCGCTCACCGTGTGAAGCAGCAATAAACAAGACAAACAGGATTCTGGGCTACATTGCCAAATCAGTGAGTTCAGATCCCTAGAAGACATTCACAAGCCACAGTGTTCATTACCTCACATCTAGAGTACTGTATACAGTTCTAGTCACCCTAGAGGCAGTGCAGAAAAGAGCAACAAGCATGATCCCCAGTGTTAGAGGAATGAAATATAAGCAACGATTATACATGCAGGGACTCTTCAGTCTTAAAATGACACTTTGCCAAGGGGACCTTACAAAGGTATGTAATATTTTAAATGGGATTGAGAAAGGAAGCCCAGAACAATATTTTCAGGTGTACCAAAAAAGTAGAACAAGAAGATATAGTTTTAGAGTTGTAAAGGGCAATTTCAGGACAGATACCAGGAAATATTTTTTTCTGAACAGTTAATGTTATATTCATGGTTATTGTTTAATTCCCCTTTAACAAGTGTTGCAATGCAACCTGTGTCATACAGTAGAAGCGAGGTAGACTCTTTGTAACTGAAACTTTCCTGTAACGCAAATGTTAATGTCCTTTCATTGGCTTTTGGTGCTTGTTAGGCATTCCCTTATATATAAAAAAATTCATAAACTTACCACTGAAGTAAGTGCCATCTGAAAACTGTAAATGCGAGCCAGACCAAAATCAGCCAGCTTGATTTGGCCACTGCTGGTTACAAGTATATTCTGGGGTTTCAAGTCTCGATGAACCACACGGTGGGAATGAAGAAAGTCTAGTCCACAAAGCAGCTGGAACATCATATCCTGCACAAAGGAATGAAAGACAAAGTTTATATAAAAAAATATTCATACCATTCTGGTTTTAAACATTTTTGAACTAACTACTTGAGTTGCAATGGCTGGGAAAGGGATTCTTCCCACCAGCCTCCTGTTAACCCTGGACCCAAACGTCCTTAGAGACAGAGTGGTCCAACTTGAACATTCCTATTTCTGAGCATTTTCTGATGACCCTGCTGGAAATGCCCATGAGTGGACACCAACTTAGCTGCAATGCCCCTGTGGTTAACTATCTAGGCTCAGATACAAAGAATAAACATGTGGATGAGTTATTGAATGGTTGCTGGTGCTCAAGGAACCATATCCCAAATTTGGTCAACATCTTCAGTAAAGGAAGAGAGAAAACTAGAGAACAACAGAATTGCTGTTATCTGCAGGCCAAAGCTAGTTCCACTGGTAATGTAATGTAGAATAAATGAAGATTTGGCATACATTTCAATTATCATTTCATGTTGCAATCTCAGCATATTACAGAAGGCGAGACATAAATGAATAGCAGAGAAAGCATTTTGTGTTTTTAATGCAGATTTCAACAACCATTGTAAATCCAAAATCATGGCATCTGTTAAAATTCACTCATTTGTTCAGTGCAAGAACTAAAGTATTTGGAAGCCTTTTGACAACATTCNTTTTTTAATTGGGAAAGCCAAGTGAAAAGCCAAGAACCACAGAATAAGACATCAAAAAGACATGGCTAGGCAATGCCAAAAATAGCTTTAAAAAGCTATGCTAGGTTGCATAAGGGAGAGAAGACTGAAGGAGACAAGATTTTAAAAGAGGAGATAACAGCTTCCACATTGAGATCTTGAGAAAGAATGAGATAAGAGTAGAAGACAGTACAATGAGTGTTAATTTCAACACACTGAGGATACAGGGAGGGTCAAGTGTGTTGAAAACAGCATATTTGGTACTTGAACAGAACAAGAGAGGAAAGTTCAAAAGAGCAATGACCAAAACGTGGGAATTAAAAATAAATCTTCTGGATCAGGATATTTGACACAGTGTCAAATAGAATTGGAGAACGTAGGTTTAAAATTAACAAACCTCAAATGAAACAAGAGACGAGAGTGATTTTTTCCCACCGACTAGTGGATGTGTGTAGATCAGATTTCCAAAATAGAAGTTGTTTAACTCTTTCAAATTGATGTTATCCAGTTAAGAATAATCACTGGAATTATAACGATAAAGGCATACAGCACAGAAAGAAGCCATTTGGCCCGTTGTGTCTGTGCTGGCTCTCTGAAATAGCAATCTGTTTAGCCTTTTCCCCATTTAATAAAAAACACCCATTCAATGGGAACCAATAATTTCTGTGTAATTTGAGGCAGGGGGAGCTAATGATAGCAGTCAGGAATTTAACAGAAGACATTAGTGAATGGGCAAATATTCTGCAGGTTTAGCTTCATTAATTTGGGGGATCATGGAATACCTATGAAGAACTTTAGAACTTTTTCTCAGCAGGTCGGCAGATTCAAGGAATAGAGCGGAGTTCATGGTGGAGAAGGTTTTATGTGTGATCTCCGGACGAAACGGGCTTGTTATGCTGAAAGCTTTCTTCTCACTTACAGGCAATGCTTCGGCCCTTCACTGTGCAGTCCTTCAGGACAATGTCCAGGCTCAAGTTGGTGTCGACCACAACAGCAAGATACCGATATGAATCAACAATTGGGACTGATTCCCTTGTATCTTCCAATCAATTCCCTCAATGTCTTGGGCCGTGCAGAATCATGATTCCCCACTGGGACGCCTACCACCATGTCCGAGTGTTCAAGATGGCAGGTGCAGTGCAGAAGATCCCTAGTTGAGTCCGCCAGCAGCACAATATCATCTGCAAACAGAAGCGCCGCAATCCAGCCGATACAATACATAATTGGGTTTCCCCTTATGACATTCTGCGATCTCATACAGAGACAGAATCCTGTCCCACACATTCCTCATGAGAATGGAAGTCAGCCTGCTCCTTCCTGATCAAACCACGATCATCCAATGCATGCAGTACACGTGCGGTGATGACCCGAAGCAGCACTTTAAGAGCCACGAAAATCAGCGAGATCCCTCTGCAGTTATCGGTTTCACTAGGGTCACCCTTCTTGAGGATAGACACCAGAACTGCACTCTGGAACACTGGCAGGGTGCAGGTGTCAGAGAGAATCCTGTTGACTAGTGCTAGGAGGGCAGCTCCAAGGTGAGTCGGAGGTTCCTGGCTTGGACCCGTAAGATCCTCACCGTTCTCCATCTCCTCCTTCAGAGCAGCTTTTAGGAACTCAGTATTGATGCCATCTGTACCAGGTGCCTTGCCATTGGCCAAGCAAATTTGCGGTCTGCACCTCATGTAAAACAATTCAAACAATTTTTTGAAGGCTCTTCTTGGGAAAACAAAACTTGCCTATCAGCCAGTTTTTATCTCCTGATTTTGAATATAATTAATGCACAATTAATCACTGTGAACTCTGTGACCCTACACTAAACAAACAAAATCTGTCCTTGCAAACTCCAGCTACAGAAAAGGTTTTCTATTTTTTCATTGTTCCTTGCTGAACCTCCTCAGGATTTCAGTGATACATTTCACTACATTTATGGTACAGTACTTTTCTGAGCAGCAGAAAAAAAACGCTGCTGTCTGCTCACAAGAGCCTTCATTCTTTGTTTTATACCTGCTGATTTTCCGTACATACATACATACATACCTGCACACACACACGCAGACGTACAAGAGGCGGAATGGGGGGGCACGGATTAGGAGGCTCATGCGGAGTACAATCACCAGCATGAACTAGTTGGGTTGAATGGACAGTTATAGTGTTGCAGAGCTTCTGTAATTCTATGCAATACTGCAGCTTGTGCCACTGGAATCAATGATTAGCTAAATTTATTGATTATTAAAACAATTAACCAGTTATATTAACATCACTGAAATACATTAAAATGAAGAATAACTACAATAAACTCCAAAACGTGATATACCATATTGATATAAACAGAAGTTTTGAAGTTATATTTTCACTCGTTTACTTTAGGATGGTTTCTTCGCTTTTATTTTTATTTTCTCCTCATTGCATTTTATGTGCTAAGAGTTTGTAACTGCACTTTCAATATAAGGGCCTTCCCTTGATCTCAAATTGAAAAGGATTGAGTCTTCGTTTAGGGCCCACTGTCCTCTGCGGACTGCCTGATGCCCTTAAATTCATTTATTTTTGTATTTAATTAATTTCATTCTTTCTTGCTGTGTATTTTTCCTTTTTTGCTTCTCTTTGTTTTTGTTAATTTGCTTTCTCCAATTCAAACTTGTGTGAAAGAACCATTTTGCTCCCATTCCCGTTTTTCTTTCCCATTCTCTTCCCTTTCTGTCTTTCTGTGGTTGTAGGCAGAGGAAGAAGGGTAGAGTATGGAGGCAGAGAGAAGAAGAAGGCATGTGTATCTGACAAAAGTGCGTGGTTGAAATTGGATGCACAAGTTTAATGGTCAACTGAAGCTGTAAACACAGCACATTGCCGGTATAAGTCACTCCTTATCTGGCCCAATATCAATGATTTGCTTCTGAGTAAACCAACAAAACCATCATGTATCCTGTGTATTTCTTTAGTAATTAAAACTAAAATAGCTGAACAAAATAGCATCAGTTTAAATTCAGATAGACCTAAAGTATCAAATAGGAATTTCACACCTTCTCTGACACCATTCACAATATTCACAACTCCAGTGTCTGTGAAGGCAGGTCTCAAATGCGCTTTGTGGATCGTGACTTTTCACTGCTCTATCAGCAGGACAGAGTCTATATACTGAATAAGATACTCACAGGAAGCCCCATATTAGACTCTAACATGAAAATAAAGTGAAAATCCCTTGTGACATAAAGTTTCTCTACCGCTAACAATGCTTGCTGCATAATATGTTAAAGTTTCACCTTGGCTTCTTGGGAAGAGTACAAATTGCACCAGTGTAAAAGGAATTTTAGACACCAACTGGGGCCCCAGAGTGCCTCGATAACCTCGAGTGATACAGGAGTACTCCTGACCTTCGCACGTTGCACCATGTGACTAGGTTTCACACAGCTGCTAATTCTCTCCTCTAAAGTTCATTTGTGGTTGAAAAAAGTGCAATGAAACCATAAAATGCAACCATCTCAACTCAGGATTCCTTTAATAAAGTTAAACATCCACAAATCCATCAAACGATCCATGGGAATATCCAAAAAAAATCTTCATGTGCCCACTACATCAGCACCACATGTCTTTCATGTGAGATTTAAGTCCTCACATGATGTTGGGGCTGAGCGCTTGCAGAATAAGTGAATGAACTTCATCAAAGTATTAGGCTGTAGCACTGAGCTGCTCCAAGCATGTGCCTGACACCTCCAAACCTCCCACTGCTAGTAAACACTGTTTACACTTGTATTATTCTTTCACTCTTCCTCATACAATGATAGCATATACAGTACCTATGGTAGCTTTCAAATAATATTTCTTGTTAAAAGAACTTTCGCAACTCCTATTAGTTTACCATTGCATTAAAAAACACACCGCACAGGTCATTTCTCCAACTATGGCACTAACTGCTCATCTAAACAATATATGCTCAGGGCACTTGCTGTTTACATGTCATGGTTCGTTGTCTTCTTGAAGATATCGAAGAAGTCGGGTGGTCGATGAAAGGTCAAATTGTATATTTTTCAACAAATGAATGATTTGATGGCCTGAGTAACCGTTTCTCACTTCATTCTTTCTTTGTTTTCTCCACAATGATTTTTCAATTCTACTGGAAGACCAACGTATGGCCATCCACACGCATTCCTTTTCTTCTGCTTTGCGGACAGTACCGGCAGTTGTTCAAGAGGAAACATGGTCAGCCTGGCTCAGTTGGTAGCACTCTTGCCTCTGAATCAGAAGGTTGTGGCTTCAAATCCCATATCAGGACTTGGAACTCATATAGTCTAGGATAACACTCCAGTACAAGTGCTGCATTACTGG